GATTTGAACCACTAATGAATCAAGTATAAGTTTTTTAATTCATTATTCTATGTGTCCTATTGAATCTTTTATAATAAGTAAACTATGTATAAGAAAGTTACCAATAATCTCAGTATAAGAATTTTATGTTCTACCTCTCTTCAAATTTCTACATAGAGGATTACCAGTGAATTCTTTAAAGTCAAGCCCGTTGTACAGTTTGGTGGTTATCAGATCAACTTTCTTATCCTGTTTAATATTTGTGAATTGCTTGATAATATAATGAGTATCATACCCTATGTCTGAATAAATCTGAAAGGAATAAATATTATATTGGACAAAAACAAATCAAGGAGATTATATTTAAGAAGACTATGGAGGCCTGTAGTCAGGGTTAAAAATATCATACTCAGATATTGTGCTTGGGGAAGATCTACTCTGATAGCAGTTATTGTAAAAAAAAAAAAAAAAGACCTTAGTTGTCTATAAGCTCAGTGTGAACAAAAAAAATTGTGATTGGATGCTTAAAACAAGTGAATGCACATTAATTTATTGTGGGGGGCAGTATTTCAATCAATGAAGGCAATAGACCCATTTTCCCATTGTTCACTGCCATTGTCAGACCACTTATGGACTAGTCACGTGGAGATGGTTCATCTTACATTTAAAAGATGGTAAAAAACTGTTGGTGGAAAAGCAAGCTCATGTAGCCACTCTGGAAAACAGTACGGAGGTTCCTCAAAAAGTTGAAAATAGAACTACTCTATGACCCAGCAATTGCACTACTAGGTATTTATACCTATACCAAAGATATAAATGTAGTGATCCGAAGGGACACCTGCACCCCAGTGTTTATAGGATCAACATCCACAATAGCCAAACTATGGAAAGAGCCCAGATGTTCATCAACAGATGAATGGATAAAGAAGATGTGATACACACACACACACACAATAGAATACTACTCGGCCATCAGAAAAAAAAAATGAAATCTTGCCATTTGCAATGATGTGTATAGAACTAGAGGGTATTATGCTAAGCGAAATAAGTCAGTCAGAGAAAGACAATTATCATATGATCTCACTCATATGTGGAATTTGAGAAACAAGGCAGAGGATCATAGAGGAAGAGAGGGAAAAATAAGATAAAATCAGAGAGGGACACAAACCATAAGAGACTCAAAATCATAGGAAACAAACTGAGGGTTGCTAGAGGGGAGGGGATGGGGGGATGGGGTAATTGGGTGATGGACATTAAGGAGGGCACATGATGTAATGAACACTGGGTATTTATAAGACTGATGAATCACTGAACTCTCACTCTAAAACTAATATTACATTATATGTTAATTAATTGAATTTAAATTAAAAAATAAAAGATGGTAAAGAACTTAGAAACTATGAAATATGAATAATAAGGAAATTTTGAATGCTCAACCTGGAAAAAAATTAACAAAAACATGGTAGGAGTTTTTGAAGAGGAATTATTTGTATCATTTGTTACTTAGAGACTAATAAAATCAAAAGACAGATGTTACAAAGACACATTTCATCTTCATGAGCAGGTTTACCCAAATTTAGAGTATGGAATGTGTTTTATAAAGAGGTCTTTTCTCAATCACTAAAGGTTTTTAATAATCTAGGTGAAGTTCTAGTAGGGATTCATTTGTGATGAAATTGGACCAGATGTCCAATAATACTGTCTTCAATGTTCAGGTTTGGGGAATATGACTTCCATAAAGCAAATAAGATATATTTGCTTAAGATGATATTCCAATGAAGATTTTTTTAAGGCTATGCTTTTAGATTTGTCTTCACTTCACAGTGAAAGGTGATAGAGTTGTTATAAAAACATTAATTGTATTGAACTTGTTATATTTTTTAAAGATTTTATTTATTTATTTGAGGTAGAATGAGAGAGAGAGACCACATGAGATGGGGGAGGGTCAGAGGGAGAAGAAGACTCCCTGCCAAGCAGGGAGCCCGATGAGGGACTCCATCCAGGGACTCCAGGATCATGACCTGAGCTGAAGGCAGTTGCTCTAACCAACTGAGCCATCCAGGTGCCCCAGAACTTGTTATATTTTATTTTTACTATCACTTATTATTATTTATTATGTACCCAACAAAATGCTGTACACTTCCTAAGTATTGTAATTAATCCAAACATCTCTACGAGGTACAAATTATTGGTTTCATTTAGGATTAAGGAAAAATGGTTTGGCAAAGTCTAGATAACTTGCCTAAAATCACACAGCTAGTAAATAACACAAAGATGTTATTCCATGCAAATCAATAAAAGAATAAACTTGGAAGTGATACAGCATTATGATTTCAAGTAAGGGTGATTGGGGCTCAATCCTTGCTTTGAAGACCCCAAAGACTTCCTCTTTCAGTACCTAGGGATGGCCAGGTCAGATTCACATTTCACTGAGACAGACTCCAGAAAGCCAAATTATAGATAAACAGATAAACATTCTGGGAGTATTCACAACAATACTCTGTTCTCTTAAGCACGTTAGAAAAAAATAAGTGGTTGATATTTTATTTATTTACCAAGAGAAATTATAGTCAGGCGGTGTGGAAATACAGGAGAATGAATACATTCTCTCTTGCTAGGTTATTCATTCTATATGTTGAATGACAAAGAGCTGAAGATCAACATGGAAATCATGGACATGCTTGGAGACCATGAAATTTGAGGAAGAAGAGTTAGATAACTCAAGCTTTTAATGGTTTCACTCTAAGATAGCTGTGCTTTCATTCCAGTTGACAAACTATCTTATATCTATATTAACAAATATAATTTGCTTACCAAAAAGTATTGTGGCCAAGTTTTCAATCCTTTTTTTGTCATTGACAACCCATGTTGTAACCCAGTGTTGATATTACATTGTAAATCTCAGAGGACAAACGTATAACCCTAATTTTCTAGTTAGTACAGCTTCTAAGTACTGATCAGAGTTAAAATTTTTCTAGCTCCAAAGCCCAGTGAAAGCCATGTGAGTCAAGGATAATGTCATTATAAAGTATTTGTGCTGAATTAAAGAATATTTACTTTGGATACAACCATAAATTCTTAAACTGATGATTTCAAGGGGGAAATAGAAACCTCTAAGTCACTAATGTGACAATAAGAATGAACCTGAGTGATCAGACCAGGGAATTAAGGAAAAAAAAAAAAAAACTTTTAGAAGCACCATAAATTATGTTGGTAAATTGTGGCTGGGTTCTAATGCAAATCTAGGTTACCCAGGCATAAAAGAAAGGAGCAATTGGCAAACACTGTGTTATTTATTTTCCGGATAAGCCATCTATCAAATTCTTCTTTCCTCAGTGAAATGCACTCACACACCATGGAGAAAAAGAAATTGGTAGTGATGGAGTACAACCCTGGGAACTTCTTTTCTGAACTTTAGTAGAATCGAGTAAATATCAAAGTTCTCTGTAAATTCACAGTTGCTTACTTGTCTAAACCAAACAAGAGGGCGATAGTCACTTGGTTGCTAAGCAGAGAAAGTGGTTACTGAAATGTTTCATGACCTGTTTGATGAGCCTGTCAGGTGCCTTCTCTGAATCTGATGCCATAAAGCACACCAATTTAAGTCTCAAAGTCACAGAAATGGCAACTCATCATGAAAAATGCCAATTCATGGGGCGCCTGGGTGGCTCAGATGGTTAAGCGTCTGCCTTTGGCTCAGGTCATGATCCCAGGGTCCTGGGATCGAGCCCCGCATCCGGCTCCCTGTTCAGCGGGGGGCCTGCTTCTCCCCGTCCCTCTGCTTCTCCCCTTGCTCATGTTCTCTCTCTCTCTCTCTCTATCTCGGTGTCTCGAATGAATAAATAAAAAAAAAAATCTTTAAAAAAAAAAGAAAATTGCCAATTCTCTCAAATCTCAAAACAAGGAAAAAACGCGTGGAGATACTGTATTTTATAGGTACTTGAACATACTAATCAATAGTAGGGGGGCACCTGGGTGGTGGAGTTGCTTAAGCATCTGACTCTTGGTTTCAGCTCAGGTCATGATCTCAGGGTCATGGGATTGAACCTGCTTGGAGCCCCATGTCCAGCTCTGCGCTCAGCATGAAGTCTACTTGGATTCTCACTCCCTTTCCCTCTGCCACTCCCCCTTGTGCCTCACCTCCTCCGATAAATAAATAAATAAATAAATAAATCTTTTTTAAAAATAGGATTTTTCCAAAGTCTGGAGCAGAGGGATTTGGAAATAACATTTCAAGTCAGAGAACTTCTGCTTTATATGTTATTCCAGAAAAAAGAAAAATGTGTTTCTTTACCATGATTTTATTTATTTAATAATTAACAAGATTTAGGAGAGAGAGTGAGTATAAATCTTAACCCACGATCTTGAAAGTGCAAGAAATGAATTATTATTTTCTTTAAATCAGTAATCTGATTGGAACCTCCATTCAGACATTTGATGGGAATGTAAGTAAATTTGGGGGTTATTCTCCTTTTCACTCCCATCATAATAAAGGGATCCAGAATTACCTGGTACCAGGAGAAGAGGCAGGTGCCCTTCACATGAATCTGTTATGATTGCTACTATTTTAATAATTACCCAAGTCCATAGAATTACCAGGAGGTTGTTGCTCTTCTATGTCTTTGTTACATTGCCACATCTGGAATTCAGAATCTTGGTGGGAGCTGAGAATTCCAGTGCCCTGCGATCACTCTTGAGGAAAAGGAGCATAATCACTCCTTATAAAGGATGCAGATGCTAAAGTAAAACGCCACTGGAATTATCGAAAAACAGCAAATACCAAACACGAATAAATGTATCAGTACATTATACCTACAACAGAAGTCTTGTCCAAAGTTTTTGCTTGAGGCCCAGAATTTTTTTAACCTTTATTTAAAATCATTTTAAATTTACAGAAAAGCTGCAAAATAGTAGCTTCCATATGCCCTTCACCCAGCGCCCCCTAATGTTAACATCCTACATAACCACAGCAAAATGACCAGAACCAGGAAATTAATATAGGTACACTACTATTAATTAACTTATATAAATTTTATTATTTTTAAAGTAACCATAAATCTGTTGAACATGGATAAACTGTTGGATTCTGAATTTTTGGTAAAATGTTATAACACTCAGATTAGATAAGCAAGCTATATTATACATGTAAAATGTAATATATATTTTAGAAGGAATAAGACATTATTTTAAAGTATATTTAGGATTATTTTCAATGTTCTATACTCTATATTCCCTGTAAATAATTATAGTTAAGAAAACATACCATTCTTTAAAAATAAAACAAACCAACAAAAGCTTTCATTAATCTGAAACTAAAGATTAGCTTTCCATTTCTTCTCAGGATCCGTGTTGCTAAATATTTTTCCTTCTTTTTTTAATTTTTTCAAATGCAGCAAGACATTATGTTCAGCCATTTTATATAAATGCTCAGGAGTATTCTTGTAAATGTTTTTTACAAGCTCCATTGCTGTAAATGATTTTTCAAAATTATCACGAAACAATGTAAGAATTTGCTGTTCTCGGATATTTCTGTGAGCAATGTATTCTAGAATTTTAGCTTCAGCATTATGAATTACTGGGCCATGTCCTGGATATATAATATCAGCTTTGAGTTTCAATAGCTCTTTTAGGGAGTTCATATAATCATAGAGGTCTTCAAATATAGTTGTTCCTTCCCCTAGGATGCAATCTCCAGAAAAGATTGCATTCTCCTCTTCTAAAAGTAGAGCCATATGATCATCAGTGTGGCCAGGTGTGTGTATAACTCTGAGAGTGGCACCTTCAGTTTTAATCACATCTCCATCTTCCAGATAAACATACTGTTGCTTTCCATCTCCTATAATTTCTTCTCTTGGAGGATTCCGTGGGAGTTTTTTAATGCAATATGCAGTGTCATTATTGATGTTTTTACAAATATCTCCTATGCCCCCGGTATGATCACGGTGCCAATAAGTCACTATGATTTCCTGGATTGTTGCGTTAAATTCAGTCAGAGCCTGCTTTAAACAGCTGATATATTCTGGAATTGCTGGTTCTCCAGTGTCAATGAGGATTCTCCTGGTGCCGATCCCTATCAAGTAGGTGTTGGTGCCCTGCAGGGTCATGGGTCCCGGGTTACAGCCCAGGACGCGCACCACCAGACTGGACAGCCGCTCGATGCTCTGCAGGACAGTCGACATGTCTGCTTCTGCAGCCCACCGGCGCGCGGTGACTCGAGCACGGAACTGGCTACTAGGCCCGTGCGGGGGAGGAGGCGGGGCGGGGTACACTACTATTAATTAAAATACAGACCTTATTCAAACTTCACCAGGTTTTCCACTAAGTACTTTTCTCTTCTCCAGTTCTGGTCCAAGATTCCACACTGCATTTAGTTGTCTTGTCTCCTTTGTCCAAGACTGAATGTCCTTCAGTCTTCATCTTTCAGGACCTTGATATTTTTGAAGAGTATCAGTCATGTAATTTATAGAATATCCCTCATTTTTTTATGTAATTTACATGAGGTTATACATGTTCAGACAGAGAAGTGATTTTTTTTTGCCCTTCTCAGTCATATCAGCGGGTACCTAATGTCAATAAGTCTTATTATTGGTGATATTACAGTGATCACTTGGCTAAGGTTCTGTCTTTAGGTCTTCAGTTTCTCCACTGGAAGTTACTCTTTGCCCATTTGTAGTTAATAAATATCTTGGAGAAAATACTTAAGAGTATGCAAATATTCAATTTCCCCTCAAAGTTTCGCTCACTAATTTTAGCATCCATTGGTGGATCATGCCTGCAACGATTATTATTATTATTATGGTGTTTGTCAATGCTAATTTAGTTTTTCCTTTATCCTTCCTATGTTTATTAATAGGAATTTTTCAATAAGAAAAAGCTGTTTCTTCTCATTGATCTGTTTATTCAATTTATATCAGTATGGACTCATAGACACTTACTTTATATATGGGTTATAATCCAATAACATCAGAGGTTCTGGATTTTAAACTGTGATGATACTCTATTTCTTTTTTAAAAAAAGATTTTATTTATTTATTTGAGAGAGAGAGAGACATAGGGAGAGAGAGAGCATGAGTGGTGGGGAGAGGCAGAGGGAGAGGGAGAAGCAGACTCCCCGCTGAGCAGGGAGCCAAATGTGGGGCTCAGTCTCAGGACCCTGGGATCATGACCCGAGCCGAAGGCAGATGCTTACCTGACTGAGCCACTCAGCTGCCCCATTTCTTTTTTTGAGTTCCACAGGTTCCCTCCCTCTTTTTACCATGATGATATTTGTCTCTGGTTCTTTGCAGCATGTCTGTTTATTCCATTCTTCTTTTACTGCTTCCTTTGATTTTACTTCTCAGTCTTATTATGATTCCTTCTTTTAAAAATTTTATCTCTAATATTCTGTCATCCTTTATTAAAACCTTGTTATTTTTTCTCCCCCCTCCAACATTGTCATTTTTCCCCATTACCCCCACCCCCCACGCTCTTTATTTCTACTTACTTTATGTATAGGGGCTGATGGGCAGGCATAGTTCATCCAGTATGAACAAAGATAAATTGCCTATTCCCATCTTTTGAAAATAGTCCATTCATTCTTTTGACTTTCAAGATGAATGTGAGCAAATTAAAGGAGTCATGCTCTATTTTGGCCATCAATTTTCAGTCGGCACTGAGTAAGGTGACTGCTAATGACACTGGTAATGGGTTATATTTCTTTTTGTTGTATTATTGTCGTTGACTTTAGAGAAGGATTGACAATACTTTTTGAACAACTAGAGATTCCATCGATCTTTGAACTAAAAATAATTTAAAACAACACATTTTTTCTGTAATAAAATTAAAGCAAAATGTTGTCCTTTGTATCTCTGTATGACAGTTGCTTAAATCACCCATATATTCTTATAGTTGGATCCACATCAAATATATAAATTTCCCCTATTCTAACCAAAGGTTATAAATCTGACTTTTTCAGGTACATCAAAATCTATTCCTGTGACACATATTTTATTGTAGTTGTAGAAGAGAAATCTTAAAAGGAAATTAACAGAACCATAAACCCTTTCTATATTCCTTGGAAATTCTAATAAAAGCTTATTCAGAACATTTTTTTCTTATTTTGAATTGCTAAAAATATCTTTATAAGGATGGACAAAGGCAATTATACTTCATTGAGACAACAATCAGCCAAACATATCCAATTGTGTCTATATACTTAATTTAGAGAACAGACTTAGAGCTTTGAAATTCTGAATGGCTCATTACAACCAACAATAATAAGTAGAAAGCAGAGATCTTTCAAACTACAGATACTGAAAATTTAGCAGTGGATAATTTTAAAAGTTTGAATGTCATTTAAAAGTTCCTACATTGTTAAATAAAGATAAAACTTATATGCATTTCAAAAGTATAATTAATATTTACTTTATCAAACATTAGTTAAAATTCCCTGACTGTAAAAATCCTGAGGCCATCCATTTAAATACTAACAACCTAGACAATATGTGTTCTGAGATTCTTTCCTATTAAGAAAAAGGATCAGTAATTATAATTTAAAACAATTTTCATTCCCAAGAGTAGAAATAGGAATATCAAATAATAAACTAAGAAGGAAATGTGAAGAACTTCTGGAGAGGAGGCAAAGTTTAGCTTGTGACTATTAATGACTCTTTAATACATAAATAAATTATGTGGATGTCATAATCCTGAATAGGAAAACAATATGGCAAAGTCCTGATAGGTACAGGTTAATGTACATATCTAAACACATTTCAAACAAAATCTTAAAAAGATATTGCTTGAACTTGACAAAATGATCACAAAATTCATGCAGGAGGGAAAAAAGCACACAGAATTAATTAGAGTAAAGAAACATAAAACACAAGGGGTAGAGACATGCCTGATAATTTTTAAACTGCGTTGTAAAGTCACAATACATCCAGTCCTTGTTCTCCTACATGTGTTTCTGTAAGAACTGGGTATTTTGGCCCATGTTGGAATTCAGATATATGATAGACTGGGGTGTGTGCAGGAAAGACAGGTATTTAAGAACTTGCTTCTTATTCCCCTACCAGGATCAAAGGATGCATCACCGCAGAGAGAGAAAGGGCCGACAAAGCAAAGTGGCCATCCATAAGAAAAGCACAAAAGCAACACTTACTTAAATGTAAGCGATTTTTTTCTACTCTTTTCCAATCTCATCCTTAAGACATGTTATTTAGTTTGAAAGAAAGTAACTTTCAAATAGCCGAGGTAGTACAGGTGAGTGATATTGGTTCTTTTAACTGTAACTGGAAAATTTTTCAGATCACCCAACTTTTTCAATGTATGTTGGTTAAAACTCAGAGGTAAAGCTTTAACATAATTTATTTCAAATTTGACACACTTATCCAATAAGATATTTCAAACTATTTTGTAAAAAGGAAATATTTATAGCAATTATTGGTGACCGTAATTTTATTTCATGTTATAAAATGTAGAATATTTTCTACCTCCTACTAACAAAAAATAAATAAATAAATAAAACTACATGCCAGTTGCCAGATTGATTAGATTTTGGCAATACGTGCTTTTCTCTTTTTCTTTTTTTTGGGGGCCTACAGGAAATGCTTAATCATGGTAACTAATGAACTCAATTGAATTACGTCTGATATTTATATTTGATTCACATTTAATTATTTCCAATAGCTGGAGTCCACAAAGTCTTTTGTGCACACAGTAGTAGACTGAATTATTGCCTCCATTCTCCATTCCCTCCTGTATCCATGTTCCCATGCAGCTGTGCTGAATGCTGTCTCTAGGACCCAGCATGATTTCCCACTCCTCAGGTTTGGCTTGGTGACCTGCTGTGGCCAATAGAATGAGAAACTACAGGCCAATTTCTATCCGAAGCCACAAGAGACTTAAGTGCTTGAAAACACTTATTCTTTCTTGATTCTGCCCTCACCTTGTGAAGGACATGCCCAGGCTAACCTGCTCATCTTAGAAAAAAACAGTTGAGAGATATGTGCTAAAAAGCTGGGCCAGTCCTCTGAACAGCCTAGATCAGCCTACTCCCAAACAAATTAAGGAGTCTCACTAAGAATAGAAGAGCCACCCAGTCCAGGCTAGCCTAGATCAGTTGCTGCTAGAAATAAATGTGAGAAATAAATGTTTATTGTTATAGGACACTAATGTTACGTGGTTGGTTGTTTTGCAACCATACTATATCAACAGCTAATTGATAAATCCTCAAATATATACTAAAAGATCTCCAAATCTTATCCTATTCCTCCCTCTTTATAAAGAACTTACAGTTTTAGCTAAACATTTCACTAAATTATTACAAATTAAGTAATAGGCTTACTGGTTTATTACATTATTTTCATAGCACATTAATTACTCATGATTGACATCATTTTAATCCTCATGACTGCTTATGGAAGTCTCTATATATAACTTATTTCCTCGAAGCTTTTAATAAGGACACTTGAAAAGTGAATTGATACATTTGCTTAAATCGAAACATGAAGGCAAAATTTTTCTGACAGAATGTAAGTCTGATTAGCTTAGGGATGCTACACTGATTCGTTTATAGGACAGACATTCTCCATAAATTTAATTAGTTAATTTTAAAATGCCAAAGTATTGATAAAAAGATATTTAAAGCATATAAGATATAAAGAATTTCATACAAAAATATTGTATTAGAAAGAATAAAGTAACATTTTGATTTTTCTCTCTTTTGTGTGTGTTGGATTAAATGATTCCTCTAAATAAAAGAGTAATAGGTATAATTTAGAGTCAATTAGTATGTGTTTGTAAAGTGTTTTTTTGGTTATGTCTGGGATATTAAGAAAGCATAGACTAAAATGACAGGCAACAAATCATGTTTCAAATCAAATCCAAGTCAGGTGGTTTCCAATTCTTTGCTTTTGCCAATTTGAAATGAGAATTAAAAATGGCTAAAAGTAATTTTTGCTGACATACCATTGTAATTTTGGCCTTCAAAGATGTGTCAAACAGTCTATAATTAAAAATAATTTTTTGATAATAGATCACTGTGACTTTTGGCATTTAAGAAATTACATGATACATCTATGAAAAAGAAATAAAACTTCCTTCCATTCCCCTCTACTGATTTCTGTGAAAATAATTTCTTCTGTTCACATCTATAAAACAAACCAAATCAGAATATAATTTGTGCAGAACTCTGTCGACTCTAGCAATTTCTTATGCATTCACAGAGACAAAAGCTAAT